GAGAGAGAGAGAGAGAGAGAGAATGGCAGCGTGCGCAAGAGGCGGTCGAGGGGATACAGGGAGCATGAGGAGGTGGATGGAGTACGGGCAAACTCACTGAGTTTTTACCCCATTCTGAAGTCTGAGTGCCTCGCTCCGCTGACTCTCGAAACGGGTTGCGGAGGCAGAGAACCCCAACGCGCACCACCGCAGCATAGCGATTCCCTGGCTGCCGCTACCACCATCGTCCGCCTTTCTATCTTCTTTCTTCTTCTTTCCCTCCCTTTCCTCTTTTCTCACTCCTTTTCTCCTCCTCCCACGTCTTTCTCTCTTCTTCAGACTCCCGCCTGGCTGCCTGACTGCCTTCCACGTTCTTTACAACCTTATTCCATCCCCCTCTTAGACATGCCCTTACCAACCTTTCAGCCGAGCCCATCAACTTACGCTGCCGGCGGGTCAGGGGCGGATCGCGACACGAGATTTTGGATAAGACCGCCGCCTTTTGGGATTTTCTACTCTGGCCATATTGTGCTGGCTCGGTTTCTATCAAGCTTCGCGAGCCCTTTCGTTAGCGCCGTAGAAACGGCGGCGGTTAAACGCGGACGCGATGACATGATTTTCCCAAAGAAACGCGTATCACGCCCGTAAATTACTTTTTCTCCCATGGCTCTCCCTTCGACTGATCATTGGCGCAAACGGATCACTGTTTAAAAACTATGATGTTTCCCAATGCGGATTACATCCTAGATTATTCGCGCGCGATGTATAAGATTTAATTATAAAAATATGACGTTACGCGAAGAACGAGCGCGCGCGCGCGCGCGCGCGTGTTCAGTTTTATCTCTTTATTTACTTGGACAAAAAAAAAAGACTAAAAGCGCATAGCAAATCTGCATAATTTAACATACACGATCGTTCCCCCGACGCTTCCTCGCGGCGTCGAATATTCCGCCATTGTTTCAGCCCCCGCATGTTACGTTATTTCGCATGATCATTATTAAATTTCTAATAAATTAACGAAGGCTATTTGTTACTCATTTTATTAACTGATCGTGTAAATTTAACATGCGTGGTAAATGTATCGCGTGTTCGCCCGCAATTCATGTGCGTTAAACTGATGATTAAGTGTACATAGAGACAGAGGCATAAAATTACGCATGTCCGCGCATACATTAACGAGGGCCCTCTAATTAGAAGCCATATCAAAACGTTGTTCGAAACGTTGTTCAAAACGGGTTGTGTCCCGCGCGCGTTGCGTTGCGTCGTTTCGTTTCTTATCGACGGACGGCGGTGTATCAAAGCGAATCGTAACGTTTCTACTACGACCGCGACGCCATTAGCATTTGCGTTACGTTCTTATGGTCCCGGAACCGTGCTATATGGACGCAGGGAGAGTGGAACTTATCGTTACGCGTTGCAGTGGTAAACCAACGTTACGACCCGGAAGTGCAAAGTCCCAGCGGCTTCCTCGGCAACAACGTGCTCATGCGCTGCAACGTTCCCAGCTTCGTTCGCGACCACGTCACGGTCACGTCTTGGCTCCAAGAACCGGCCTTCAATATTTATCCCTCCACCATGGGCGGTAAGTAACTGAAATCAAAAGAAAAACTAGATATATTTATATATATATATATATATATATATATATATATATATATATTAGTATAGTA